CCACGCCCGGCCGCCTTTGTCTCCCCAGTGGCGACATACGCACACACGCACGCACACACGCGCACACACACGCTCACACGCGCACGCACGCACACACGTACACACACGCACGCACACACACGCGCACACACACACACGCACACACACACGCTCACACACACACGCACACACACGCGCACGCACACACGCACGCACACACACACGTACATACACGCACGTACACGCACACACACGCACGCACACACGCGCACACACACGCGCACGCACACACGCACACATACACGCACACACGCACACATATACACACGCACGCACACACACGCACGCACACACACGCGCGAGTTGTAAGGGGCGTCCGGGGCGGGTGTTTGTCCACGCCGTCGGGGGCCCACTGCGTTGTGGCGCTGATGTTGATCTCGGACGCCCTCTTTGCCCGTGTTCAGCTCGTTCTGCGTTGGGGGTGGGGTGGAGGGGGGTGCTGGCAGTCGTGGCACGGGCTGTGTGTAAGATCATCAACCCGCTAAATGTTTTAACAGCTGACTCCAGCAACAGCTGTGGACGTCATCGAGTTGCGGGGGAAGAGGGTCACGGGGTCGTCAAATTGTCTCCGTTTCTTTTCTCTCTGGAAATGAAGATTTAAGGGGTTCATTGAATCTTGGGCAGCGATCGTCTCTGATGCCCGAGCTGAGCCTGCGGTGGAAATTCCACGGTCGTACGGCGAGCATCAGTCCATCCGTCTCGTGGTGGCTTTGCGAGTCGAGTGCCAAATCTCATTTAGCCGACACGTCCTCACAACAAGTCCCGATCAAGCCCATCGTGCTGATGTTATGTACATCATTTATTGTTAAATTTTAATCACAGTTCCTATGATTACTGTTGTCACATTGTTTTTAAATCCTTTATATTAAGTTCACTTGCTTGCTTGCTTGCGCGCTTACGACCGTGCAAATCTTTCGGTCGTTTTTTAACCCACTTCCCGTGATCCAATCGAGCTGACATTTTGCACACAGACTCGTTGTGCGAGACAATTTATTTTCGTGAAAATTTATTTTCCAAAATTTTACACTTTTTAGAAAAAAAAAATTATATTTAATTACCAATTGCTTAATGGTGGCAGGCAATCATCTGACCCATAGGTGGCAGCCATCTCAAGCCAGAGGACGAGAGGACTCTAGCCGCCACGCATATAAAGGATTTATAGTGAAAAACTTTGTTTTTACGGGTTAATTTTTATAGCTTTATTTTGGTGATTTCGAAAATATATGGTTCATCTAAATTGTCTTATGGTTGTTATTGTTTGACTTGTTATCACACTGGGATTTTTGCACGCAGCGTTGTAATACGTTGGTTTTTTTTCGTGGAAGATTTGCTGGTTTATTCCAGGATGTTTTTGTTGCGCGTCGTCGCTTTAAGATGTTTCTCTGTTCATATTTTGTTTGTTGCGGTTGCACCCGACTCAAGAGCCGCATGGCTCACAGGGCTATACCTAATAAATGAAACTTGAAAACTTGCTGTCACCATCCTAGATTCTCAAGCAGACCCGGAAGAACGCTGCGAGTGAGACAAATGCAGCCGTTCAGAATAATAATCATCAACACCTCAATTTGAGACCCTAACATGGCATCTCCCCTTGACTTTGACATTCCTCCTCCTAAATGTTGACTTAAAGTTTTCGTGATTGCAGGAATTAATATTCTTTGATTATTTCGGTAAAGTCACGTAGATAAAATAATAATAAATAAAGTGAATACAAATTATAAAAATACAATCTAAAAAATAAAAATAATAAAAACCCACTAATGTAGACTGTAGCCCCGTTCTTAATCGGAGTGAGTGTACTGGCAAGTCTATAATGTAGACTGTAGCCTGGTTTTTAAGTTTGGTGAGTGTACTGGTAGTCTATAATGTAGACTGTAGCCTGGTTATTAAGTTTGGTGAGTGTACTGGTAGTCTATAATGTAGACTGTAGCAATGGTTGTTAAGCTGGGTGAGTGTACTGGCAAGTCTATAATGTAGACTGTAGCCTGGTTATTAAGTTTGGTGAGTGTACTGGTAGTCTATAATGTAGACTGTAGCCTGGTTATTGAGTTTTGTGAGTGTACTGGTAGTTTATAATGTAGACTGTAGCCTGGTTATTAAGTTTGGTGAGTGTATTGGTAGTCTATAATGCAGACTGTAGCCTGGTTATTAAGTTTGGTGAGTGTACTGGCAGTCTATAATGTAGACTGTAGCCTGGTTATTAAGTTTGGTGAGTGTGCTGGTAGTCTATAATGTAGACTGTAGCCTGGTTATTAAGTTTGGTGAGTGTATTGGCAGTCTATAATGTAGATTGTAGCCTAGTTATTAAGTTTGGTGAGTGTACTGGTAGTCTATAATGTAGATTGTAGCCTGGTTATTAAGTTTGGTGAGTGTATTGGTAGTCTATAATGTAGACTGTAGCCTAGTTATTAAGTTTGGTGAGTGTACTGGTAGTCTATAATGTAGACCGTAGCCTGGTTAATAAGCTGGGTGAGTGTACTGCTATACAGCCAGATAATACGACAAATCTTAACCTTAAACACCCAGTCGTTCATAAAAGTTGAAGGCGGTATAGTACTGTAGTAATAGAGCAAGTGCAGAATCACTGAACCGGAATTGATAGCTTGAAAGCATTTAGCGCGGGGCCCTTGAAAGTGCGGGGCCCGTAGCGTGTGTAGCTACTTTTGCTACCGGGATAATCCGGCACTGCACGAAACGCTCTCCATCTCTCTCCCGAGGACGTCTCGTTGTGGCTAAAAGACATCGGCATATAGAGCTCCTGCAGGTCGTTGCTGCTGCCATCTCACGCAAAGAGTGCAGTTGCACGGCGGGCACCGCACCTCCGATTAGGGGCCGTCCATAAATGACGTCACGCGATTTTAGACGATTTTTGACCCCCCCCTCCCCCTCGTCACACGGCGTCACAAAAAGTCAGACCCCCCCCCCTAAAATATGACGTCACAAAGCTCTGCCCCCCCCCAAAAAAACATGCCACGCCCGATACGTTCCATTCATTGGCTACCACATTATGATGAGCTCCCCCCCTTCTCATCCCCCCTCAACTTGCATTTAAGGGATTACATCTTGAATCATTGCCTCACTTGATGCAGCAAATCTGGCTGTGACGGTCTCACCTGATGACGGAGACTTGTGTTGCCTCCGAAACGTCGTGATTTTTATTTTATTTTACTTTTATTAATTTTAATGTTTTACCTACGTGACTTTACCGAAAAAAACCCTAAGAATATGAATCCTTGCAGTCACGAAAGCTTCAAATCTAGAATTAATGCTTCAAATCGCTTCAAACTATTGTCATTGTAGTGCGTATTTAATGTGGCGCTGCACTCTGATGTTGTAGGAGAAAACATTTCTAAAAAGGACTAATTAAGTAGAACGTGTTGTCTATATTTATTTAAAGTTGCGCATTTTGATGTGACGTCACATTTCTCCCCCCCCCCTCGTCACAAATGTCTGACCACTCCCCCCCCTAGGTGCGTGACGTCATTTATGGACGGCCCATAACTGGAGAGGATGGTTATCCCTAGCAACCAGAGAAGATTATTATTCCTAACTAGAGAGGATCGTTATCCCTAGCAACCAGAGATGATCGTTATCCCTAGCAACCAGAGATGATCGTTATCCCTAGCAACCAGAGAGCATCGTTATCCCTAGCAACCAGAGATGATTGTTATCCTTAGCAACCAGAGATGATGATTATCCCTAGTAACCAGAGATGATTGTTATCCCTAGCAACCAAAGATGATTATTATTTCTAACTAGAGATTATTAGTATCCCTAGCAACCAGAGATGATCGTTATCCCTAGCAACCAGAGATGATTATTATCCCAAGCAACCAGAGATGATCGTTATCCCTAGCAACCAGAGATTATTGTTATCCCTAGCAACTAGAGATGATTATTATCCTTAGCAGCCAGAGATGATCGTTATTCCTAGCAACCAGAGATGATTATTATCCCTAGCAACCAGAGATGATCAATATCCCTAGCAAACAGAGATGATTGTTATCCCTAGCAACCAGAGATTATTATTATCCCTAGCAACCAGAGATGATCGTTATCCCTAGCAACCAAAGATGATTGTTATCCCTAGCAACCAGAGATGATTGTTATCCCTAGCAACCAGAGATGATCGTTATCCCTAGCAACCAGAGATGGTTATTATTCCATTGGAACCTCCTTTGCCAGTAGCAAAATATGATCATTGGTCTGTTACCCTTTTATCTGGCAACAAAACTGACACTTTTTTTTTACAAGGAGTCATATTTGCATTCCGACCGCAGGTATTGTGGTCAATGCAAACATGACTCTTTGTAAAAAAAAAAAAGTTGTCACTTTTGTTGCCAGATAAAAGTGTAAAAAAACCAATGATCATGATAACTATTGTTTCTTCCTTTCAATCCTTGTTCAGGATCATGCCCGGCTCCCATCGCACTCCGCTGTGATGGGATCAGGAATGCGTGACGTCATCAGGTGGGTCTGCGTGCCTGAACGGTGACGTGAGGGTGACGTCGCAGCGAGCGAGTGCCACGTTAAGAAATCCGCGGCATCCCATTTTTGACCGCAATTATTTTTTTTGGGGAAGCAACATTCGCCTTCGTTTCATTCAACAACAACAACAGAAGTTAATTATAACTTGTTGACTACGAATACTTTTCGTGTGGGGGTTGCTTGGTTAAAAAAAAGTGAATATAAAGTGAAGGAATTTTGATTTAAAGCTTTCGTGACTGCAGGGATTCATATTCTTGGTTCTTTCGGTAAAGTCACGTAGAAGGAAAATAATAAAGTAATATAAATAGAATTTTATCGTTTTACATTTATTTTATTATTTCCCTTCTACGTGACTTTACCGAAAGAACCAAGAAATAAAGTGAACGCTTTCAGGAAGTGTTGGGGGTAGGCAGAGGTTGCTTCCGCGGATGTCGTCGAAGGCGACTCCCCCCCCCGCGCCCCGCCCCCTGAGTTCATTGCATCTCGCCGAGCTAATGGCGACCTAAGTAGCTGAGTTCCATTCCACGTAGTGTCCATCACCTCTCGCCACGGACTATCGACACTATCGAACTTGAACACAACACACACACACTTCCTCCTTCAGCCCACCCTCTCGTCGCAACGTCTCGGAGGCAAGGGGTAAGTTCTTTACCGCCGTCTCTGCTCGCGTTGACGATGATCCACTGCTGGATGACAGCCTCCTTCATTCCTTCCCCTTCATTCCTTTCTAACCCCATCGCCTTCCTTCCCCTCCCAAGCCGATGCCGCTGGACGTTACTTGTCAATCAACGTCGCGACGCTTGTGATGTTTCAATCGCCACGGACAGTGGTCGGTCTCTCTGTCTCTTTGTGGAGTTGTTCATCAGCAGCTTCTCCGCTGCGTTTGTGGAGTCTCCAAGCGATTTTCGATCCTTTCCATCGCCTTTCGTTGTTGTTGTTGTTGGCCCAGACTCCCTCCACTGCTTGATGGATTATCCTCTCTCTCTTTAAATGTCTCTCTGCGTTCTCTTCTACCCCGCGACGTCTTTGCGTTGCTGTGCTGGGAGGGGGGTCCATTGTAAAACGCACGAGTGTTGTGTGTTGTTGTGTTGTTGTGGTGTTGTTGTGTTGTGTTGGTGTGTTGTGTGTTGTGGTGTTGTGTTGGTGTGTTGTGGTGTTGTGTTGGTGTGTTGTGGTGTGTGTGTTGTGTTGGTGTGGTGTTGTGTTGTGGTGTTGGTGTGTTGTGGTGTTGTGTGTTGTTGTGGTGTTGTGTTGTGTTGTTGTGTTGGTGTGTTGTGGTGTTGTGTTGGTGTGTTGGTGTGTTGTGGTGTTGTGTTGTGGTGTTGTGTGTTGTGTTGGTGTGGTGTTGTGTTGTGGTGTTGGTGTGTTGTGGTGTTGTGTGTTGTTGTGGTGTTGTGTTGTTGTGGTGTTGTGTGTTGTGTTGTTGTGTTGGTGTGTTGTGGTGTTGTGTTGTTGTGTTGGTGTGTTGTGGTGTTGTGTTGTGGTGTTGTGTGTTGTTGTGGTGTGGTGTTGTGTTGTTGTGGTGTGGTGTTGTGTTGTTGTGGTGTGTTGTGTTGGTGTGTTGTTGTGGTGTTGTGTTGTGGTGTTGTGTTGTTGTGGTGTGTTGTGTTGTTGTGGTGTGTTGTGTTGGTGTGTTGTGGTGTGGTGTTGTGTTGTTGTGGTGTGTTGTGTTGGTGTGTTGTTGTGGTGTGGTGTTGGTGTGTTGTTGTGGTATGGTGTTGTTGTGTTGTGTGTTGTTGTGGTGTGGTGTTGTGTTGTTGTGTTGTGGTGTTGTATTGTGTGTACGCGGGCTTCCGAGAAGGGAGACGGAGCGATGGAATCGTCCCTTGCACAGGGGGGTTGGGTTGGATCACTCCGTCGTAGGATCGTCAAGGAGGGTAGGAGGGAGGCCTTCATCCAGCAGTGGATTGTTGCACGGTTTAGTGACGAGTGGTGCTTTTAGCAGTAAGACAATTGAAGTTTGTTGTGAGTTTAACACGGAGTCGTAAGCATCAATATCATCCACAATAGAGTTTTATTTTAGCGTTAGATCGCGTAAATATGTATGTGTCGTTAAACCCGCCACCACCCGACACAGCCAATGAATAATGTTTGTGTCACGTTAACAAAAAAGTTGCCATACTTTTTTTTGGTAAAGTCACGTAGGTAAAAGTAAATAATAGAAATATTAATAGAAAAATAAATAGAATAAATAGAAATAATAATAGAAATAAAATAAAAAAAAATTTAGAATAAATAATACAAATGGTAGAAATGAAATAATTATTTTTATTATTCCATTATTATTTCTATTATTTTTATTATTTATGTTTTACCTACGTGACTTTACCGAAAAAACCTAAGAGTATGAATCCTTGCAGTCACGAAAGTTTCAAATCTAAATAAGTTGCCAATTCGTTGCTGTTACAGCACTAACCGGTTGTGTGTTGGGAGAGAGAAAATCCACAAACATTGACAATCCCGAGTCCGACGTTTCGGCAGTCATTACAAGGAGCATCATCAGGCGGACAGCCACAGATCTGGTTGTCCGCCTGATCAAGTTCAAGTTCATTGATTAGGTATAGCCCTGTGAGCCATTCGGCTCTTGAATCGGGTGCAACCGCAACAAACAAAAAACAAAAACATGAATAAGAAAACATCTATAAAGTGAAAACGGCAAAATATTGCAGAAAAAGCACCGTACACCAACGCTGTGCACAAATCCCAGTGGGATGCAAGTCAAACAACAACAACCACAACTTAGATTAAAGCCATCATTCTAACTCCGTACTACAACAAACAAACCATGGCCAAACCCAACAAACTATTCGAAATCACCAAAATAAAGCCATGAAAGCGATGGTGCTAGATTGTGGATGTTGTGTTGTGAGTTTACTCTCCAACAAACACCGCTGTTGTTGTTGTGCCACCTAACGAATTGGCACGTTTACTTAACACAAACTTATACATTGGCCGTGTCGGGTGGTGGCGGGTTTAACGACACATTTATATTTACGCGCTCTAACCCCACAGTCTGTTGTTGTTGTTGTTGTGATTGGATATCATCGACGACGAAGTTGGTCGCTTCCTTTTGCTGAGTTTGTGGAGAAATTCGCGTTTACCGGCGTTTTGCTCGGCGTTCGAGGGCGAAGCCTGCGGTCTTTCCTGATTTTCCGGCCGGCTTTGGGGTGCCGAGACGCCGCCAGGAAGCGAGGTGTGTGGGGGTGGTGGTAGTCCATGGGCTAAATGAAAATAGCATAAAGCTTTTGATTTAAAGCTTTCGTTACTGCAGGGATTCATATTCTTGGTTCTTTCGGTAAAGTCACGTAGAAGGGAAATAATAAAATAATATGGGAAAAAAAGTTGTACTTATATTATTTTATTATTTCCCTTCTACGTGACTTTACCGAAAGAACCAAGAATATGAATCCCTGCAGTCAATATAATTTTTTTTAATTTATATTATTTTATTATTTCCCTTCTACGTGACTTTACCGAAAGAACCAAGAATATGTATCCCTGCAGTCAATATATATTTTTTTATATTTATATTATTTTATTATTTCCCTTCTACGTGACTTTACCCAAAGAACCAAGAATATGAATCCCTGCAGTCAATATAATTTTTTTTTTTATATTTATATTATTTTATTATTTCCCTTCGACGTGACTTTACCGAAAGAACCAAGAATATAAATAGCATAAAGCGTCAACCCATTCGGTTTAGACCGTATTCTTGTACAGGGAAATTGAGTTTTCAGGTCCATACGGCGTACAGCACGTTTCAATACGGGCAGCAAACTTTGTTGTTGTTAATTTTGCATGGGTTGCCTCGTGATGGGAACTTTGTGTAGGATGAACGTTGAGATTCATTAAGGGGCACGGGGTGACCAATATGATCTGAATTGGTCTGGAATAAGATAGGGCACTGATAAGGGGTTGACAGGTATGAAATATCTACATATTAAACAAATGCATCTAGTACGAGTTTACAATTTTGTTCATGAAATGCAACGTTTACGTTATCGCGTGCGTCGTTATATTTCACTCAGATTGACGTATTCACTCATTGCTATAATTTGCTAACATTGCTTATATGAGAGCATATGTGTGTGTGTGTTCTCAGCAGATTAATGTGGGGAGCGGTAGTGGTTAGTGCTGCGGACCTGACCACCCCGGGTTCGATTCCCGCTCACGGCCACCAACACCAACAGTGACGATTATCTGAAACGGTCATGGGCCTCCCCTAGGTCGACTCAGCCTCAAATGAGTACCTGGTGCGGTGTGTAAACATCGCCACTGGGGAGACAAAGGCGGCCAGGTGTGGTGTTGGCCACCCACCCTCTCGTGTGCCGTGCCGGCCTTGATAGATGCTCGCTTACAGCACTTGCCCCTACAGTCTCTATACGGGGGATATTTGTGTCTACGTAATGGTTGGTGTGTGTTTGTAAACTTTGTGCGGAGCGCAATACATTGTATGGGTACTGGCCTTGATGTGTCGCGATCAATCCCACTGACTTTCCTTTAACGGTCAAGATGATGTCTCTGATTTGCATTGTGTTCCTTCCACCTCCTGTAATTCCAAGCATGCGTCTCTCTTCCCCGCTTCTTGTGCACACTTTTCAGCAGCCTTTGTGCTATTTTGCTTGTCCGCTGATGGTCACGTCACAGTGAGTAATATGCACTGATTGGAAACTTTCTTCTTCTGGCATGTTGGCCAATTCTTTTTCTTTTCATTCGTTGTTTCTATTCCAAAAAGCCGCCCAATCCTCCTCTTGGTGACCTATCGTATAATGTCATCGCAATTCGCCTTCAGTGACGCAAGGCCGTAATTATAATAAAAATTGGGGGGGACACATCCCCCCCCAATATTCAAATATGCTCAAAATGTCCCCCCCAATATATTGCTATAAAATAGATTTTTGTTTATATGATTGTGGTTATGGTTGTACTTTATTAATCCCTAATCTCTGCCATTACATACAATGAAACAAGAAAAGGTAAAAAATAAAAAAACAGCAATGTAATACACTATTAGACATTATTGTAAAAAAAACAAATAAAAAGTCCATCCTATGTGTTAGTGAATTTTATAATATTTTAGGCAGCAAATCGCAGGAAATGAGTTTTCAAATTTAGATTTTTTTTTCTGGCGGGGGGACCCCCACACCGCCTGGAAGATTTGGTCCCCCCCAATGTTGACTCCATGGCTACGGCCTTGCAGTGAGCAATAATGACCCCGGCTCTTCATCATCAGAATCGTCAACAGCCATGGTCAATCCACTGCTGGATGAAGGTGTCATCAATCCGTTACCTCCCGCCACGGTCCTGTGATACAGCAATCCACCCAGCATCTGCACGTGAGCTGGTCGCGCATGGCTCCATCTCTTCGGTGGACTCCAACTTCCCAGCTCTAATCTGCTAATAAATAAAGATGATGGTGATGTTGATGATTAGCAAGCCCCACATATAAATAAGGTACAAACTGAATCACAGTATTCTATGTGCAACGAAACAAAGTTTGCAGGAAATACCTTTAGTGATCTTTTTCATTAACCTAAGATACTTTAAATTGCAAACTCGTGCAGTGTTTCCCTCTATCATCAGAGACGTGCAGCTGTCATTTGATTGTTCACGCTCGCAATACCCCATGTCAAGAGTGCTTCCGTCAGAATCCACAACATGCAATTCGTGAGAGGCCATGTGCGGCGGTCGTATGCTCACGGTACGCTCATTTCAGTTACGTCAATCGAACTGCAGAAGCGAGGACCAAAATGTTTTTGTTATTGTTGAAAATCCAACAAAGCGGTTAAAAATTACGGAAAGCAATTTTTTTTCCTTGAACATTTTATCAAATCGCTCGTGGAGGGTTGTGAATCATTGCATGCCTCGTGTTTAATTCAAGGCAACCACGGGTGCCCCACTCGTTAAAATTCCAAGTGTGTTAAAATAACCCACAGCTGAGGCACATATAAAGTTAATATTAACTCCACATATGCATGCAACAACTGTTATTCAGTGGCTGCTTGCAGGAAAAAAAAAGTCGTACGTGACCTTCAAATGATCTCGTACACTGCGCCGTTTTATATTGTGAAGTGGAATTACTGAAAGGTATTGGAACAAATTATCTGGCGATTCGTTGGCAGTTGGGCACAAGCACAATCTAACAAAAGAAACCTTCAACACATAAATGGAAATATAAGAGGTGATGTTTTTGGAAATGCCCCTTCATCATGACGCGCGCTACAAAGAAGGACCATTGCCTGAAACGTCTCTTCATTGGCCCTTCTTCATAGGACACAGTCATTGCCCTAAACATCAGCTCATATGTTCCCTTTCACGTTAAGGTATTGTATCATCTTATTCATGCAGTTGATGACTTCCTTTGCAATTGTAAGGGATTTATAGTCCGTCGAAATCCTGGTTATAAATAAGCCGAGTATTGTCCTCTGCGGGATGAAGGCCTCCTCTGCTCAATGAAGGCCTCCGAATGCTGTTGCCGTTCCTCCCTCGTGCTTTCGTTGCCATAATCCATCATGAATTGATCTCTCAACGTTCCGTTCCGTTGGTGGTCACCCATTCCCTTGGGCTGCCAATGTCACGTGCTGTGTCCCGCCAGCTGGTTTAGTGAACCAGATTCATACCGCAGTTCAGTATAAATGTCGTGGATTGTGCATCTGAACGTTCATCCTCCGTTGTCCCACACACGCACGCTCTGTTGCAGTGTAAATCTCCGGGCGTGTTCAAGCGACGTCCGCGGTGTTTGATCGGAAAGGGATGGCACCGAGGAGGGCGGACTGACCCGCGACCTCTTCCCCTGCCGCCACTTCTGCTACCCTCGCCGCCGCCGCCACCGCCGCCGCCGCCGCCATGACCTTCAAGCAGACCAACATCGAGGAGCTCTATGACTTCTCCGAGGAGCTTGGGAGGTGAGTGCTGCACAACAACCAACAGGGACGTGGGGCGGGAGGCGGATCTTCCCGTACTGGAAAGAGCTTCACAGATCATCGGATTCCTCCTGCAGCCTAAATAAAGATTCTGATCTGGGTCAGGTTTTGCCACGGCTATTGCTTGGCACGAAGTGCTTCCCTTGCCCCAGTAAGTTGATGGAGGAGTTGCACTGAACGAGATGGATGGGTAGCTCGGAGGTCTGCCACCGCTGCTATATATGGCAACTTTTTGGCGCCACGGTGGCAAGGAGATGTTAACTACCTCACCTGGTATGAAGGAGGTTGTGGGTTCGGTTCCGACCTTGACGCCTGCTGTATATTTGGAGTTTGGTTCTGTATTTAATTTTTATACATTTCCAATCCGATTAATGAAACGATGTGGTGGACTGCAATGCGTTAAACATTACTCTCGGTGGCAGGGTGGTTGGTTTGGTCATTTCTGGTGCTTGCAGTCTGGACTAAAGGTCACGTGAAGAGATTTTGGTGACGGTACCGATGTCCACTTCCGTGGGCTGTGATCGGGCACTGCTGTGAGACAGGTCTTGAGTTAATACTTTGTGACGTGACACCAATAGCACAAAACGGATTAGAATCGATGGAAGAGATCAAAAATAATAAATACTAGGCTTCCCCATAACTGTTGCAGGTGAAATCAGGGTGTCAGTCCCATAGCTGAATGCACATGGCTAAGTAGAACATGTGGAGCAGAGGCTATTCTCCAAATATTATTTTAAGATGAAACAATATTTGGCGATTAAACAATAAAATGTTCGCGATAAATTTGTTGTTGTTGTTGTTGTTGTTATGGGGAGTGGCCCTTTGAGTAAGGACAGAGAGGCCAGAGTAGCAAAGGAGATCCGTCATTGTTATCTTACTCAAGATGAGCATATAGTGAATTACATTTTCGAGCAGAAAACACGAGCTCTATATATATATACACACACACATGTGTGTCTACCGCACAAGAACTGAGTTGACTCTTTCCACCACATCTTGCAGATCTCACACGGAACGTTTGCAAGAGCTGCAAATGTTGAGCGGTTTTGATCGTGCCTGTTGCATGTTTTTATTTTTGGAACGTCGGGAGACAGAGGAACACGCGGATCGGAGAATGTTTCGTAGACATCACATTTTGACTGTTGATAAAAAGTAAGTGAACTTAGACGAGACGCATTGCTCAAAGTTACGATGCCCAGTGGTCGAGACTAATGACAAAGTGGCAGCCAATGGAGTGAACATGCCCAAAATGACATACGCCACGGAGATGGAGCAATGAAAACACCTCGGGTGCGAGGTGGATTGCGTCACCACTGGAGCGTGACAGACGGCGACGGCTGAGTGAAGCCTTCATCCAGCAGTGGATAAATCATAGCTGCTGATGACGATTATAAAAGGCCTGCATATAGTGAATTAAAATTTCGAGCAGTAAACACGAGCTCTATACATATATATACACACTTGTGTCTACCGCACACGAACTGAGTTGACCCTTTCTTTCCACCGCACCTTGCAGATCTGGCATGAAGCGTTTGCAGAGCTGCAAATATTGAGCGATTGAGTTGCAGAACCTACGGCGCTCATAAGCGTGCATTTATTATTAGGTCGGGCATGCACGCACGGGCACAACTTTAAAAATGGGGACACCTTCTTGGGAAATCGTCCCATTGAAAGTGATCCAGAGATGCAGGGGAGCCCTCCGCCAGCTCGGGTTGCCACTCGTTCCGTAATCCAACCCGAGTCTTTCCTCCTGGACGTCACCCGCCAATCCGAAATGCCACCGGGGCGGGAGGTGGGTGATGCGGCGTTGTTGGTGGGAGGGGGGGGGCGGTGGGCGGTGGAAGCCGATAATGTTTTGTCTGATTGCTTTGTTTGGCCTATGCCCCGAATTACTCGGGAATGTTGTCATCGGAGCTCGGAAGCCAAGCCAGGGTTGAGCTTGACGAAGCGCATGTACGTGTGACCACCGTGGGTAACGGGTGTGTTGTGTGCCGTGTTGCTGCCCTGCACGTGCGTTGTCCCGCATCTGCGCCCCACCTCCCCCCCCCACCCCCCGGCAAACCAGCAGTGGCGAAGAATGCCGAGGCTAACACCCATGGACTCGCACGGGCATGGCGCGAGTCATTGCTTTACTCGCAGACGTCCCAGTCGGCCGCGCATTTGACATCACGTAAAGGATTAAAATTAATAAAAGTAAAATTTAAAAGAATAAACCTAAGAATATGAATCCTTGCACTCACGAAAGCTTCAAATCTAGAATCACGTAAAGGCCTGCACACGCGTACATGCCTTGACGATTCCCGCCATGCACACGTCTCCCACCCCCCACCCCTTTACCACCACCACCACCCCGACACCGCAGCGGGCAGTTCGCCATCGTGCGCAAGTGCCGCGAGAAGAGCTCCGGCGTGGCGTACGCCGCCAAGTTCATCAAGAAGCGGCGGTCACGCGCAAGCCGCCGCGGCGTGAGCGAGGAGGAGATCCTGCGCGAGGTGGACATCCTGCGCGAGATCGCGCACCCCAACATCGTCACGCTGCATGACGTCTTCGAGAACCGCACCGATGTCATCCTGCTGCTTGAGCTGTGAGTGCCGCTGTGACCGCTATCGCCGAAGCCCGGCGCCTCTGTCCCTCGTCGAGACGCAGGACAATGCTGTGGGGGGGGGGGGGGGGGTGACGTGTATGTGTGTGTGTAGGCATCTGGAAAATAATCAGAGGTGGCTCCCCAATTGTTTCGGAGGTCGGAACACTGAGCTGGCACCGTTGGGTTCCTGGATTCGGAGCTGGGTTTTATCCGCCTGTTATGAAACCACTTTCTCAAGTGGTAGTCAGAATGAGACTCATAATATTTATACTGGAGAAACCCGATGGGCTGCAAAGCTCTTTTTCACAGATGTCCGGTAGGGTCCACGGTTACCGATGAATACCTAAATAAATGATGAAGTGAATGAAATAATGATTTCACAGCCTGCGAATTTTAAATATCCATTTCACTCTCGTGCGACGGACATGACTTGCGTACAAGCAGGTGTCTACCGCGGAGATGTCCCAATTTCTCCGTTTGATGCCATGATCTCTGCGACTTCCGTGACACCCTCCTCACTCCCCAGCGTGTCTGGCGGTGAGCTGTTCGACTTCCTGGCGGAGAAGGAGTCGCTGACGGAGGAGGAGGCGCTGGACTTCCTGCGGCAGATCCTGAGCGGCGTCGACTACCTGCACGGGCGCCACATAGCACACTTTGACCTCAAGGTGACGGTTTAGGGGTCACCTCCGTCGTCCTTATTTTTACTCAGGGGCTGGACTTAGTGATGGTGGATTAATTCTTTGTGTTATCCTTTAAACTTTTTTTTTACCTTTTACCAGGTAAGGCCCACTGAGCTATGTAGCTCTTTTTCTTTCAGAGGCGACCTGACCAGAAATGATAGCTGAACGAAGTGGCTTGTCATGTGCAAATTAATTGCAGCCAAATACTCTTAAACGGGTGATGTTGATTCTAAATGTGGAAAGAAAAATCGGAGGACCCAGAGAAAAATCCACGCGACCGCGGGGAGAGAGACACGCAAACTCCAAATATACAGCAGGCGTCAGGGTTGGGATCGAAGCCAAGACCTCCTGCATACCAGACGAGGCAGTTAACATCTCACCACCGTGGACGTTAACGAACGAACACCGTTATTGGTGGCCGATAACGGCATGTCAATAACGAGGGTTCACCTTTACCACGCTCGATGCTGCGACGCCTGAATGTGCTTTCCTCTTGCCCACGCGCCGCCCATGTCGGTTCGCAGGTCCGCATCGGAAACGCGACATCGACGCTTGCATTTGGCGGAGAAAATTTCGTTTGCGGGTCCGTTTCGAAGTGGCGGTGCCTCGCTCGACCGTGGGCCGTGTCAAACGAATTTTGCGTTGCCGTATCTTACCCCCCCACCCCCTGCTCCCTGACGTGATGGCAAACGAGTTACACCCCGGATACCGGTCGATCCCCGTCGCTAAACCGTCGCGCCGTTTTTCTGCCCCGCCGCGATTTGCCGCGCAGCCCGAGAACATCATGCTGCTGGACAAGAGCGAGCGACGGCCGCGCATTAAGATCATCGACTTCGGACTGGCGCACAAGATCGTGGACGGCATGGAGTTCAAGAACATCTTTGGCACGCCCGAGTTTGTCGGTACGTTCGGTCCCCGTTGGCCGCCGTTTTCAATCTTTGTCGTCTCTCTCCTCTCTTCTTTCTCCCTGTTCCTCCTTCTCCTTGCACTCAATCCACACGCTTTCGCTCTTTCTCTCTTCTCGGCCCCACCCCCGCTTCACCGGAACGAACTTTACCCTCCACGTTAAACGGTAACCTTCGTTCACTAAGCTTCCGTTCTTCACTCAAAACTCCCTAGCCCACCCCATGACTCCCCCCCCCCTTAATCTCCCCCGCATTACCTCCACCACCGTCGCTGTTCCCTCTTCATATTCTCATTGCATGGCTATCACTCATCTACCCCATTTATTCATTCAATCCATCCGTCATTTACCACCATCAATTTCTCTTTTGCCAAATTGAGGCATCATAACAGATTTGCCCCCATTGCTTCCTCTCTCATCTATTTCGTTCGCCTCATCTCCGCCATTGCAATCATACGTTGGTACCGTTGATCATTCTTTATAAAGCGCCTTGCTTTAGGCGTGATATAAATTCCATTAAGAGTTCCCCGGTCATCGGTGCCAATTTCGCGACCGACGCGACCGACTCGCTGTGGAATATCAGAATCAGAATACGAATTTTATTCCCCAACGTTTTGCCACTTCTCTGTGCCACCTGCAGTTGAGACTCTCTCTCCTACGTGTTAAACTCTCTCTGCCCACCACTTTCTTTATCACAGTTTGACGAGGCGACTGCACCTCTCAATGTCCACTCCCCCGAATGTCCCCTTTTAACGTAAAAAATGTTCCCGCGTTACAAATGCACCGCGAGTGCCCGCGTTACCAATGTATCACGAGTGAGAGAATGCAACTCTCTCTCGTACGGCCTTCTGCAATTCTCTAATCTCCAAACTCCGAAGGATCCAGAAGGCCACCGGCAGACTTGAGAGATTAGTGGGAGGCACTGTACAAATAAATGTCAATTATTATTTTTACTTTATCTCCCACAAATGAGATGACTTCGATCTTGAGTTTTCGTGACTGCAGGAATCCATACTCTTTGGTTCTTTTGGTAAAGTCACGTAGGTAGAAAATAAAGTAAATCACGACGTTTCGATCGCAACACAAGCGGTCGTCCTCGGTGGAACTGCTGGATTATATTTGTTCCGCCTGAGGACGACCGCTTGTGTTGCGATCGAAACGTCGTGATTTATTTTATTTTATACCTACGTGACTTTACCAAAAGAACCAAAGAGTAGAAATGACTTCACCTTGAAACTCCTCCCGTCCCTACGCTGGTTCCCAATCCAATCCCAGTTCGAGAATTACGGCCCGATTCATGCGTAAGTAAAAAAACAAGAAGAGTAGCTTCTGCGGGGATTTTTTGGGGCGTAAAAATGGCCAAAGAGGTGGAAATTATCCGTAGCTTGTCTCCTTGCCGTAGGCGTACGACTTGACCCTCTGAGTGAGTGTTGGGGCAAATGTTGGCGGAACGCCATTTCGACCTTGGGGAACACTCCGTCCTGGCGGAGTTATTGGAAAAGGGGTATAAACAGGGCGATCCATCAAGCTTAAGAGTGGCCCCTTAGCCAACACTCGCGTTAGCATTTTATTCTTTCGGAGCTGATAAACGTGGTGAGAGCGGAGCCATTGGCAGACGAACGCCTGCCGCGTGAGCCCCGATGTGTCATGGCTCGCGTGTCGCTCAATCTGCAAAAACACTCATTCACTTTGGCACGTTGGGAGGGGGGGGTGTCTTGAGCGTAAGCTCTTAGCTTCCGTTTATGAAAAAAGGTACACCTACAACCTTTTTTGTCACTGTTCACCAGAGGTCGCAATCGGGTACCCGATACCCGTACCCTACCCGATACCCGGCTACCCGTACCCGGCTGGGTATCGGGTACGGGTAACCCGTACCCGGCCGGGTACGGGGTACCCGTTTGCGACCCTGGTGCGGCCGGATACGGGTACGGGTAAGGAATCAAAACCCGTTTGCGACCTCTGTTGTTCACGACGCTTTTGTCATTCTTTCGTCACGCCGGTCAGTGCGGGGTCGGTGAAGGCGTCGAGCATAGACGACACGGGAGCACAGAAATACAGCACGGCATTTGATTTTGCTGAACTGCCCTCTGCACAGTAGCCGCGGAGCCCAGAACACACCTCCCCATCCACGGTGGCTGCTCATTCAACCGCGTATCCGCGATCCGACGGGGCGATTCGTTCGTACGCGCGACAAATGTTAATTCTTCTGTCGTGTTCCCGTCCATTTGTTTTCATTCGATGAAAACAGCTCCTGAAATCGTGAACTTTGAACCGCTGGGGCTGGAGGCCGACATGTGGTAAGATTTCACCGTGGACCTCGAGTTTGTATTTTTCTGCAGTCGCTCTAAAATACTGCCTTGTGTTGTTTTTACACTTTGATTTATCTGCTCTGCATTCATGATGCGTGTATATCTTTTAAAGTTTTTTTGGCGTGGCTTTTTGAAGTAACCAGTTTGATTTCTTTGAAATCTTTAAATTGCTATTTTTATTTATTTAATTTGCGCACATTTACTTTGTGTTGTTGTTTTTGTTTATAGGAGTATTGGCGTAATCACATACATTCTGTGAGTATTAGCACACGTGCTTTTGTTTTGCCTATATTTGCCTCCTTATGCTTTTTACGACTGAACTCGCAACCACAGTCGATGCTTGACATTACCTGCTTGCAGATTATCCGGATTGCGAATTAACAGTGCTTGAATATTCTTTGGTTCTTTCGGTAAAGTCACTTATAAAGATAAAATAATAAATTAAATAATAGCATACTACAACGTTTCGATTGCAACACAAGCAATCTTCATCAGGTATAAAAGAAATAGCAACAAAAATCTAACCAGAAAATTATAGACAGACATACAAGCAGACAGACAGACATCACAAAGACACACAGAGAGAGAGAGAACACGTATCAGCACAAAGAGAGAGGTTGTTTCTGTGACGAGGCCTTAAATATAAAGAGGGGGCGGGGGCGGAGAGAGGGAGGGGGCAGAGAAAAAATTAGCATGTCAATGAGTGGACGACGACGTGGTACGGTATGCAAGCTTGAAAATTAGGAGAAAGACACACTAAAATTAAATAACCTAGTAAAATATCGAAATGTAATGTAATGCAACACAGAGAGTCGGTCAACACACAATTAACGCATAGCCCGGTTGATTACGTACTTGAATAATATACGTCAGAATATGTATTTGTACTGATGTCCAGGTGCGTGCTGGTTTAATTCCTGAGCTGCTCTCACTCATCGAGGGTCAAGTGGCTCAGTGTCCACGTGGCCACAGAGGCGGCGGCAAGTGAATTGATTACTTTAAGAAGCAGCGAACGCAGAAGATGTTTTGTACGTCTTCACATCCGTTCTGTATCGCTAAACAATAAATATGTAGGGGGCCACGGTGGTGAGATGTTAACTACCTCGCCCGGTATGCAAGTCGTGGGTTCGATCCTGACCGTGACACCTGATGTATATTTGGAGTTTGCAATGTTCTCACCGTGGTCCAGTGGATTTTTCTCCGGGTCCTCCGGTTTTTCCCTCCACATTTAGAATTAGCACGCGTTTAGAGTATTTTGCTGCTATAAATTTCCACGTGATAAGCCACTTCGTTGAGCTATCATTTGTGGCCAGGTTCCTTCTGAAAAAGAGCTACATAGCTAAAATTAAAAATAGTTAATATTAAAAATAGTTCAAATATGGTTTAACCGCTCAACTTCATCATGACTGCTGTGTAGCCCTCTGATGTGCTTACGGGTTGTGCCGCGTGTTGTTGTTCGGCATGATGTCCGACGTTCTGCCCCACGTACTAAGAGGGTGGCGCACGTGCCAAAACGTGCCAAAATCGGCATGCCAAATTGACCGTGGCCAACGCACACCCGCGCCGGTTAATTCTGATTCCAGCCGATCAGTCCGACCCCGGGGGGGCCCTATGTACGTGAATTCCTGATTAGTTATGCTGCAAGGGTTGTCTGGTGTTGAGTGGGGAGGGTTCCTGCCGCCGTTGATTTGTGAGGAGCCACGTGCCAGTCCATTGAGCCTGATCCAAGCCAATCTGGCTAGCTTTGGGGCCTTTGTACACAGGTCACCGATTCATATTGCCAATGTGAAACAGTCTGATCTCGGCGTCAGGCTTCCTACTACCATTCAGTAGTTGTTTGTCTGTGAGCCCAGGCCAGATGTTTCACCTATCTGGTACCGCACAAGGAGGCGTAACTTTATCGGTTCCAATTTCCTTACGTGGCCAATAACAGTGAATCATGTGGTCACCATAATAGAATTTTTTTTGGGTTAGATCGCGTTTTTGGGTTACTTTGGGTTACGCGATCTAACTCCAGAAGCCTCAATTATGGATAATATTGGTCGCGAAAGCCTACATTTCATGTGATACCTGTTTAAGATGGGTACATCGAATTATTCGCTCATAATATGCACGTATAAATTGGATCTACGAAAGTTTTACTACGTTGGATGGCACCGGTTTTTGCTCTGGCCCACGGACTTACGTGAGCTGTTTGGACTTGCTCTTACGCTGGGTGGCGGCAGTAGCCAGGATAATCGGCCACGATACGGTGCCACGGAACGTTGCCTTGACTTGAGAATTGTTGTCATCTTCCAACGCCGATGGTGTCGTTGCGATTGCGGTGGCGATTGCAGTGGTGATGGCAATGGTGATGGCGGTCGCGGCGGTTTCCCGGTTGTTGTTTCAGGCTGAGCGGCGCCTCTCCGTTCCTGGGCGACAGCAACGAGGAGACGCTCGCCAACATCACAGCCATGAACTACGACTTTGACGAGGAGTATTTTGGCCAGACGAGCGAGCTGGCCATCGACTTCATCCGCAAGCTGCTCGTCAAGGACCCCAAGTGAGGAGCCGCGTGCGGCGCGAGGGACGAATGGGCTTGCAGTCGCAGTAGTCTCGATCGTCTATGAGAAATGAGTTCGGCAACTCTGTGTTTTTTTTTTTGGTAAAGGGAGGCTGTCTCTGGTGTACTCCGATCGGTTTCAAGGACACTGCATAAGTTATTACCGAAGCGTCCAGAATAGTTTTTTTTGTTAGATCGCGTAAATATAACTGTGTCATTAAACCCGTCACCACCCAACACGGCCAATTAGTAAGGTTTGTCAAGTAACACAAAACGTGCCAATTAATTACTGGTACAGCACCCTGGTATGTTTGAGAGTAAACTCACAACGTTCACAATTCGAGTACGACGCTTTTGCAGGAATTACAGCCAGCATCATCAGGCGATAGAGTTGTTCAAGGTGCGTTTGTTGGCATGTTTTACTCCAAGTATGTCTGTTTAATGTAGACTTGATGCCTTGTAATCGGTGTCTATTTGGAGTTTCAACATCTTCACATCTCCAGTATTATTTATTGAAAGGGGTAAAGCCTATTCTTTGTTTTGTATTTATCCAAACATTAGCCAGGCTCGAAAAATCCTGCTGAGCTTCCGAGATGTGGACGAGATCTGGCACATTCTGGCTGAAAGACGATGTCAATCCTTTCACCAAGAAAAACTTCAACGGATTATTTGCCGAGGTGGGGGGTCCCTTGTTACGTCGCGACGTCTGGCCAATTATTTCGACGAACGTTCGACTTTGTGCGGGAGGTAACCGGAGAAAACCCGGCGCGCGTACGAGAGGGTAACGCTCGAAAAAATCCAATACGGGAAGGTCGGCCAACCTCCTCGCTCTACCGCCACCAGCGTCCCGCGTGTGAGACTGCACGACGTCGCAGATCTGACCAACGACTCGCGCAGCTGATGTGAGCCTTTCATCTTCTTCTTCTTCTTCCAGGAAACGTCTTCTCATCAAAGACACGATCACCCACCAGTGGGTCAAGGTACGGACTCTACCCGCGTCCTTCAGGCTTAAGCTGCTCCTTTAGCCTAAGATGACGTTGGGAGTGAATGGAGGTGAACAGGAACCGGGCCGCATTCACCTGCCGCGCGCACGCAATCCGATTCCGTCGCTCTTGTCGCACCTTGACGCCAGACACGGAGGATCTTTTATTTTTTAAGAAAACAAATTTTCATCGTCGTCATCACGATCATCGCGACGCACTGCTGCCTGCTACCCGTAACGTAGCCCCTCCGCTCCCCTGTGGCAACCTCTGTTTGCATAATCTTTGGTTTTTTTCGATAAAGTCACGTAGGTAAAAAATTAAAATTAAAATTAATAAAAGTAAAATAAAATTTTTATAAAAATCACGACGTTTCGGAGGCAACACAAGCTTCCGTCTTCAGGTCTTCAGGTGAAGACGGAAGCTTGTGTTGCCTCCGAAACGTCGTGATTTGTATTTTATTTTTATTTTACTTTTATTAATTTTAATTTTTTACCTACGTGACTTTACCAAAAAAACCTAAGAATATGAATCCTTGCAGTCACGAAAGCTTCAAATCTAGAACCTCTGTTTGCGTCCAAACGCCATCCAGACCGAACCCCCCCACTTAGTCTCTGGCACGTGATGGTTGTGTAACATTCTGGCGAGGTTTGGTGGTGGGCAGTCGCCGCGCGCAACTGTTGATCTATTTGAAGGACGTTTGCCTGCCGTTCTGCTTGTACCTCGAGAATCAAAGTTTAGTGCAAGGATGGGCAGCAATCCACACGAGCCAGCAGGAAATAGTATTTTGATGGTAATGAAAATGACAAGGATGATGATGATGACGATAAAACTAGAGGCTGAACCAATACTCCGTCGTCATCGTCATCATCTCCACCCCCGCCACCACGGGCCACGTACAGGTGCACGGCTGTGTGGCACCAGAGCAAGCAGCCGGCCCTGGCGCAAGCGGACGATGTGGTCGCAGGCTGGCACTCGTATCATGGTGATCATGAAAATGACGATGCCGACGACGACGACGACGACGAAGAAGAGACCTTTAAGGCGAGCCGACGCGCCGATCCACTGCTAACCCCTCCGTCCTTCCCGCCACCACCGCCCGTCACGCACGCACGCATGTGCACGCACGCATGTGCACGCACGCACACACACACACACACGCACGCATGCATGGCCACGTCGCACCAGGGCAAGCAGCCGGCCCCGGCGCAGGCGGACCGCGACACCAGCAAGAAGGAGCGGCGCCGCCTCAAGCCGAGCCGCCTCAAGGAGTATACGATCAAGTCGCACTCGAGCATGCACCCCAACAGCACCTACGTGGACTTTGAGAGGTTCACGCGGGTCGTGGAGGAGCTGGCCAGCATGGAGGAGGGCCTGGGCGCGCTGCAGAAGGGCCGCCGGCGCCTGCGCGAGGAGCTGGGCGTGCTGCTGGCCGCGTGCAGCGAGACCGAGGTTCACCAGCGGCAGGCGGGCGAGGCGGCGCGCCAAGAGATGTCGCGTGCCCGGTTCGTGGATGCGGTCGCTTCGATCACTTATTTGCGCTCTCACCTGCCCTCACCCACTGTTACCCGTTCTCACCCGATGTCACCTGCCCTCACTGTTAGCCGTTCTCACCCGCACTCACCCGCACTGTCACCTGCACTATCACCCACTGTCACCTGCCCTCACCCACTGTTACCCGTTCTCACCCGCACTCACCCGCACTCACCCTCTATCACCCGCTGTCACCTTCACTCACTCGCACTCACCCGAACTCACCCCACACTCACCCACACTCGCTGTCACCCAACCTCACCCGCTTTCACCAGCTCTCAAATGTCACTTATTCTCTCTCGTTCTCACTCGCCCTGATCTACTTTGTTTAATCATTGATTTATCAGCGCAACTTCTATTTTTGATTATGAACTTATCTGCTTTGAGAACCAAAGTGAGTACCACAACGAGCAGTCCACAAAACAGCAGCCAATAAAAAAAATCCTTTCCGAACCTGCAAGCTTGCGTGTTTTTAGACGGCGTGACCTAACGCCCGTCACCGCAAAGCAATAGATGTTGAGCAAATACGAGACGCTGTGCCTTCGGTGCTTGTTTGGGCAAGGTGAATCCTCCAGAAGTGAGGCTTGCAGGAAAATTCGTCATCCATTGACAGTAACATACCTGGGGACGAGTTGGAGGTCTCAATCTTTACGTACGTACATGTATTTATATTGAACTTTTTTTCGCACCGTACGTAGCCACCCGTGCTAATCGGAGGTGCGGGGGAAGGACTACCAATGAAACGCAAAAAGCTTTTATAAAGAAATGACTTTTCTATCTTGATTTAAAAGTTGCATAGCTCCCAGTGGCTTACTAATATCGGAAGGAAGAGCGTTCCAGACGGCCGCAGAAGCGCATCTGAAAGCGCCGCGCCATACGGCGACCAGCCAAAAGCCGCCGCCGCTGCTGCTGCTGCGATGACGAGATCGGCGTGGTATCACTGTTCATTTGTGTACGTGCTCTCGCCCGTTGCGACCCGTTGACCTCCACCCGTACGGTGTCTCCCCCGCAGCTACGAGGCGCGCAAGGCGGACGAGGGCTGGCGCCACGCGCGCGACGAGACGCGGGCACTCGACGCGGCGATCACGCACGTCGAGGGCCGCATGGGCCGGCGCCAGGCGCAGCTGGAGGCGCTGGCGCAGGAGGTGGCAGCCGAGATCACGTGGATGCAGGAGGTGCTCGGCGAGGCGACTGCGGCGGCAGCGGCGGCGCCCCTGTCCATCGTCGCCGGGATCAACGGAGACTCGCACTGCTGAGACGCCGGGGACCGGGCCGCCGTGACGTCGCCGAGTTTGGTGTCGATTTTAACTGGGGGGGGTTGGGGTGGGGGGTTTGTCCACCGTTTGCGGTGGGGCGCCGCATGGTGGCTGACCGGCTCGGGCGAAGAGTCTCGCGTTTGGTGCGGTCGTCGGTGGGGAAATGGCTGCTTGGGTGATGGCTGTGGATACATTCGCAGCGGAGACATCCACGGGGACCCTTTCACTCTTGAGACATCATAGACGTCTGTTTGTTTGTTGAACTTCTTTCGCACCGTACGTAGCCAAACGCGCTAATCGGAGGTGCCGGGGAAGGACTGCAAACTTAAAACAACATACTTGATGGCATCTTTCGTCCGCATTTACTGTCGCACATATCGACTGATGTGCTATATTGAAATCTAAAGACCCTGTTACGATAGCATCATAGGTTGTCTTGTTTGCTATAGCAACATCGGTAGAGCCAGTTACTGCAGTGAAGTCCATGAAGGCCCATTCACTATGGTGAGGTTTGAGCACCCATTTACCGCAGTGAATCAATTGGCGGCATCAGACCTCTCTGCCATCAGGACATCAATATACCCATTCGCTATGACATCAATAGTGAACTGCTAATCTGTTGATCACTGTCGATGTCGAGTATCCAACAGAACCATCATAGCAACATTCGTAGTCCAGCTTGGCAACATCTTTATATCAGTTTACTAATTGTGTCATATTTAGAAGCGTTTAATGTGGTGATGTTCAGAGAGCTGACAGCTAAATGATTTCGGAGCACTTTGGAAATGGTTAAATGGTCTTGTCTTTTAAGCCGCACTTTTATCTTTTTACATCTGCAGAGCCGTTTTCTCTCCCAGCGAGAGTGCCGGAGAGAAGGGGGGGGGGGAGTGCTGTTGGGCTGATCTGGTGGCTAGTTTTGTACTTTGAGAATCTGGAATCTTTATTTATACTGCAGGAGGAATCCGACGAGCCAATGAAGCTCTTTTTATCCACAGGTGGTCCTGTATGGGCGGGTCGGCAAGTCACAACGGCAAACAATACAACAACAACAATGACAGGAGTGCAACATCTAGAAAATGCTAAGCAAGTCATTTCGATTTAAAGCTTTCGTGACTGCAGGGATTCATCTTCTTGGTTCTTTCGGTAAAGTCACGTAGAAGGGAAATAATAAAATAATACAAATTAAACATTTTATTATGTTTTATTTTCCCTTCTACGTGACTTTACCGAAAGAACCAAGAAGAAGTCATTAAATGTAAATGAATAATAAATTAGTTAATTTAAATTATCCACAGCCTCTAAAAAAAATGTGGGTGAATTTACTAGCCTCCCCGCACCCCAACCAGTCCCATGTACCACGAAGTAAACCGGAGTGGTCTCTGCGCTCTTTCAACTCTTGTCTCTACCCCTGAAACCCCTCTTCGTCCTGGCCAGCAGACCTTGACATTGATTCGTTGGCATCCAACTCCTGGGCACATTGCTGCTGGCACCACGCTCCAGAATAGAATGGCAGCGCACACCCCCATCAAATGCTGGGGTGTGTTTGAGCAGGGGTCTACTACCCCCCCCTCCCCACCGATGATTTGCCACGGGACCCCCAATGAGGGGGGGGGGGGGGGTCTCGGACCCCAGTTGAGAACCCCTGCTCATTTGCATTTTTTATTTGATGAAATTACACTTTTTTTGGTAATTTATTGCTCACGTATTTATTCAGCATTTCTTTTGTTTTACTTTTATTATTTTTTGTTAAGGTATTTTATCGTTTAGTGGAAGGGGATTGTTTGGGTATGTTTTTAATTCTGAAATCTTATCTCTCTTTAGTTTTTGTTTTATGACAAAAAAAATGTTGCTACAATTCATTTCTTGTGTGCGTGTATAGAAATATACGTATCAATGGGGTACAGCATTAATGAGTGGCACTACAGTTTAATCGATCGGCAGGTCGCGTGCGGTGAGGTATAGTGGTGGAAGACTCCCACACCTTCAAGAAGTCTGGCAAGTGTGGAAGAGTAGGCCAAATGCCCGCTCTTGAGCTTTCTATAGTGTAGGCCTTTCCGCCAGCAATGTAGTTGAACTTCTTTCGCACCGTACGTAGCCAACCGTGCTAATCGGAGCAATGATTAGTCAAGGTGCAGGGCTGCACCTTGTCCTTTGAATGCATATATACACATGCAGTACGTCTGTATTATGTACGCGTGTCTGGACATAGGTGCATTACCTAGACACACCGATAAAGTATACATGTAGTCTACGTACACAAAGATGTATTCATGTATTCTGTCTGCGGGGAGTGGTGGCGCATTGGTTAATTTCACTGCATTGTGAACCCGGCGACATGAATTCTATGGCTAACATTGGTGGGGGGAGAGATGTCAGTCGGTTATGGGCCCCCTCTGTCAGTAACCACCACCCCCACCCCCGCTCTCACCAATCTGGTGAAGTATGGTCAAACAACCCCCTTGCCTGACATGGCATGGGGAGGTCTTCATCCAGTATTGGATTGAGAAAGGTTTGTAAATTAATATTATGATGCTTTCTATATTTAGAAAAAATACATTGTATATTTTTTGTTATTTTGTATCTTCTGGGAAACATAACTACTCATTACTTGTAAGCAGTTGCCAAAAGTTTACTACCAGGAGTAAACGCTAATACTGATGCATTACAATTTCGTACATGCTTGGACTGGACTTACACCAGTCGGCATGAAAGTTTACGATTTTAAGATGACGTTTACGGCGCTGCGTGTGCTTGCTTGTGTAGAGGTGTAATTGCGCATGTCTACGAATGTTGAGGTGTGATTATGCATGGCCACGGATGGCCAACAAACACAAGGGGCGGGGTTACGGCCGTACACAAGGGTGGCGCTCGCACCGACGTCTGCATGTGTATCCCCCACGGGCCCCCCCCCTTGGGGGCAAGTCCTATAAAAGGTGATGAGCCGAAAGGCTCGGGAGTCGGGACTCAGCTATAACCAGAGAAGACGGAAGACCAGCTAGTGTAGGCCCCAGAGCTCCCCTGGCTCGCTGTCCTTATAAGGGCCGACCAGGGCAAGCCGGTGGCGTGGCCCCGAGAGCCCAGACGAAGCTGGTCTGGTGACTCAGGGAGCCGGGATCCCAGCTTAACCAAGCTGGGACAGATAGCCTCCCCTAGTCCCGTAGTGGAGGAATTGGTATAGGTTAGAGGGGTTAGCTGTCGAGAAATCCCTGTAGCCCAGTGACCTGTAAATAACTGTGTTGGTGTAATAAATAAGTGTGCCTCCGATCCTGTCGTCAAGCCTCCATATACTTACTACATCTGGTGTCAGAAGTAAAACGTCCAAACGATGGACACACGAGGGACGACACGTACCAAGGAGTCGGAGATGGAAGACGCCGCGGCCAATTCAACACCAGAGATGGCCGGGGTCGGATCGGAGCAGCCGGGGCCAAGTACGCCCGTGCCGCTACGACAAGAGGGGGGGGATGCGTCGGCTGAAGGACTCCGGCTGGCCCACTCCCGCCTGGCGGAACTGCTCTACGCCGCCGCCGCTGCGTTGGAGGAGATCACGCGGCTGGGGGCTGGAGGGGCAGCGCGGGTCGACGACAGCAGCCGGCGCGCGGCAACGTTTCCCGCCACCCCGACGCGGCTGGCGGTTAAATTTCCCGCCATCTCTACAGTGCGAGCGGACGGCGGGGCCGGCCCGCGTCACGTGACTGCTGAGCGCCAAGCACAAGCCGTGACATCATCAACACCGGCCGGCGCGTCAACATCGGAGCGACCGGCGATGCCATGTGCACAGCCCGCCCACACTGTATCATCGGCGGGGAGCGACGGAGAGCGATCTACAGCCACGGACGTCGCCTTGCAGCAGCGTCTGCCACCTCTGAAAGAATTCGTAGGCGCAGACGGAGACTGGGGCGGCTTCAAGAGACGGTTCATCGCTCATCAGGAGATGGCGAACTGGACGGACGCCGAGGCTCTACGCGCGCTGCCAGCGATGCTGGACAACGACGCCCTGGCTACCCTCACCTCGGCGCCGAGGGAAAAGCGCGCCACCCTACACCTGGCGTTGCAGCTGCTGTCAGCCGTCTATGGGCCGCCTTCGGACTGCAGGCAGCTTTTCCACGATCGGCGTCGGGGCACCAACGAATCACCTCTGGCCTTCCGGACTGCTCTCCTGGCTCTAGCGAAGGCTGCTTTCCCAAGGATGGACGAGGAAGGAGTGGATGCCATGGTGGCTGAGAAGCTGCTGCTACTCGCTGATGAGCTGGACGTCAACGTCCTGGCTCAAGACGACTCAGAGATGTCGTCCCTGCTGGTCGCGCGCCACATCCACGGGGGCTTGCGGTCCCTTCGTCGAAAGGCGGCAAAGGGGGCGGCCAGCCATGCCATGGCGGCTACCGCCCTCCCATCGGAGGAGGTCTGCGGGGTGGAGCGGCGAGGGGAATGGAGAGCGGCAGTACCACAGGCTCGGAATGGACCGAGCCGCCAGGAGCAGCCCAGGACATCGGGGGCGCTCACACGCTGCTACAACTGTGGCCTGCAAGGCCACGTTGCGTCAGGATGCCGGGCTCCCCGTCAGCGCGGGGCGACACCTCGTCAGGACGCCACGCCGTCTCCTCCCAAGCTCCAGCAGAGAAATACGGCGAGTCGCGGCACCTCACACGTTTGGCCCACGCACACATCCGACACACACTCACGCGCCCAACTAAACAGGGCTCCAAATTCCCCATCCGTTGCGCGCGATCGTTCGGTAATGCGGCGGGCGCTCCAACCGGGTCAGTGGTCGGAGCTCGCCCATCGTGTCGTTGCTGCGTCGGCGGGATCATCGGTCGTGGTCGGTCACATTGATGGGGTAGAGGTGCGGATTTTAATTGACACAGGGGCATCGGCGACCATTATATCTGATTTAATTTATAACATCCTTCCCGTTCAAAGTCGTCCCTTGCTCCCTGTTGACGTGCCGTGCTATGCCGCTAACGGGGGCTCTCTGGGCATTATTGGCCAAATCCGCGCCACTATCTGCATTGGGGACATTAAATTATCCGGGCCTGTTTTGGTTTCCTCCTCACTCGCGGTTCCGTGCCTGTTGGGGACGGATTTTCTGGCCAAAATGCCCATCCGCATCCTTATTGACCAAGGGTGCATTGAGCTCCCATCGGGCCGACGCGTTACATTTCTGTCTTCCCCCACCACGGAGCGTCGGGCGTTTGCCACCGTGCAGGCGCTCGTCACAAAAACTGTGCGCGTGCCTCCGGGGGCTCAGATGCTCGTCCCTCTTAGATTGCGTCGGCCGTTTAATGAAGGGGTTGCGGATCGGGGGGTCTTGTTGGGACCATCTCGGGCCGGGGTAAATGGACCAGATTTGCTCGCGGCTCAGACCATGGTGAGAGGGGATGGGGACCCCTTCATTGCAGTCCTTAATGTGGGATCGCGAACGGCCGTGGTTCCTCAAGGGACCGTGCTTGCACACGCAACGCCGGTACCCTATGAGGAACCACTCGTGGGTCAGGTATCCACCGATCCTCCGTCGCGACCGCATTCGGACTGTGATGACGGTTGGCTGGATGCGCTTTGCGCGGGTTCAGTGGACCTGTCCGACTCGCAGCGCGCGCAGCTGCGAGTTCTTCTGAGCGAATTTGCTGACGTTTTTAGTCAACACAAATTTGATATTGGTTGTACTAAATTGCTGCGACACCATATTGACACGGGTGACAGCGCGCCAATCCGCCAAAATCCCTTTCGGTTGAGTCCCGCCGAAAAGGATCATGTCAAATCGGCTGTTGATGACATGCTAGCCGCCGATATCATTTCCCCTTCCAATAGCCCGTGGGGCGCGCCGATCGTTTTGGTGAAAAAACACGACGGCTCACTGCGGTTTTGTGTCGACTTTCGGCGTCTGAACAAAATCTCTGTGGCAGATGCGTACCCGCTTCCTCGAATGGATGAGTCGCTCGATGCCTTGGCGGGGGCGCGATTCTTTTCCACCCTCGATTTGCTATCTGGATTCTGGCAGCTTCCTCTGGATGACGAATCAAAACCTAAGACTGCTTTTCGGACACCGCAGGGTCTCTTCCAATTTAACCGCTTGCCGATGGGTTTACATTCTGCGCCGGCAACTTTTCAGCGGTTAATGTAATTGGTCTTGGCAGGGTTGCAATG